AGACCAACTAGCTGATTGCTTCACTAAAGGTGTTCACCATCCAAAGTTTGCTAAGAACCTTGCCAAGTTGGGCATGATTGACATATATGCTCAGCTTGAGGGGGAGTGTTGAGAATAGCTAGATAGGGGTGTTTTTGGTGTTTTTTCTTCTTTCTTATACTCTCTTAGTATTTGGGCACCCATATAGGGGCCTTTTCTCAAATTATAAAGTAATCTTTTGAGGGTGTGAACAGTGAACAACACACACCTCTCGACACTTGCTCTTTTCTTCCTCTTCTTCTTCTCTTCTTTTCTCTTCTTCTTTTCTCTTGAAACCCTAGTTTCTAAAGATCAGAATCAGAGCCAAATGGCAAGGCTATCCCCCAGCCATAGTAAAGGTGTTAAACGGGGTCTCGGAGGTAGAAGTAACCATATGGTTGGAGATACTCCTAGAGAGAAGGGCAAAACCAGCCAGCTGCAATGATTCAGTGTCAGAAGAGTAGGAGTGGATCCAAAAGTCACTGGCGGGCCTAGACATCTCTCTAGATGTGGGAAGAAGACCAAAGGCAAAGGAAGTGCTGAGGAAAATATGTGATTGGTGATGGAGTCCGGGGAAGGTGGAGCAGGAAGAGGAGGCATTTGAAGGTTTCAATCAGCCTGAGCTCAGAAGTGATGTGGCAGTGGTAGGCGCTAAGAACTTTGATCCTGCAATAGAAAGAAGGGCTGTTGCTCCAGCCTGCCATACTGAGTCAATTGTATGGCGAAAGGAAAAGCAAAATGAGTTTGTCAAATCTCATTTGAAAATCGCCTAGTGGAGAAGATAGTAAGTCGTTGTATGGAATTACTTGGAGAAATGGGGATTGGGAGTTGGAGCAGTTCTGAACACATGACAAGAAGGGAGCCCGACCCTAGACTGGCTCTTGCCACCGGCCTAGAATTTGCTTGTGTGATAGTTATGGGGCAGTTAAAAAGTTTTAGGGGATATGTAGGCTCAAGAGATTGGACTACTTCTTGTTGAAGGAGACCACAATGTTTTAACCAATTTGGGGCCAACCCAAGAATCGAGTAGTTCAACCAACTTAAGCCCTAGTTCGACTAACAACCAATCCAACCCACCTCTACTTAACCTTTTTAACCAAAAAGAGGGGTTTTCACCCCGATCTCAAGGATTCCAAACCTTTGTTTCCCCCAGTTGAAGAAGCTGCCACAGAGGCCAATGCCTCGTCAATTGGGATCCAAGAACTACTAGCCAGTCCTATGGTTGCTTAGATTGGAAAGGAATTGAAAAGGCTTATGGTGCTTTTACAAAAGGGACGAAGTTTGAGATTGGGGATGGGCTAGTGGTTTAAAAGGCGCGCCTAGGCGCACAGGCGAGGCACATTTCAGGGTATGCACCTCGCCTAGGTCCTAGGCGCAGCCCTTTCAAAAGGCGCACGCCTTGCACAACCCCAATTTGGTAATGTTGTTCATTCATTCATCCTAATAAAATGTCTTCTTAAAAAGCAATTAAAACTATAAAATCATTATTTTTTGTGTGAAAACTAAGAATTTAAGACCTAACATAGACTTGTTTGGGCTTGCCTCGAGGGGCGTGGCACAAAGGTAGCTCATAGAATCAGGAATGTAATATGTTTTACATTACATTAGCTACTTGAAGTAATGCAATTGAGTGAAAAAGTAGAATAACAGTTTTACATGCTTGAAAATGTTTTATATGTTTGATTTTATTTTTAAATTCTCATTTGAATATGCTTTACATCTTATGTTTATGTATTTTAATTTTAGATAATAGGTTTTTTAAAACATTATTTTAAAATTTAAGTTTATAATTTTTATTAATATTATGTTTAATTTTTTTTTGAATTTTTTGGCATTTTTTTGAATTTTCTAACAAATTTTTTTTTTTTTTACTTTTTACCATTTGTTTTTGTATTTTTGCGCCTTGCTTAAAAAAGGTGTGTGCCTTGCCTTGCCCCTTGTGCCTCAGGCGCAAATTGACCCCTGCGCCTTGTGCTCTTAAAACACTGGGATGGGTCAAGGGTGAAACTTTGGAAGGATAATTGGTTTGGAGAAAAGCCTCCGGCAGAAGCTTTTCCTGCCCTCTTTGAGATGGCAGCGGACAAGGATTCCAAAGTAGCCGACTGTATGCAAGATGGAAATGTGGTATGGCTTCCTCACTAAGAAGAAATTTAGATTACTAGGAGGTGGATGCATTGATGGAATTGATGCATTTGCCATACAGCACTGAAGTAGAAATCGCGAGGGCTGACTATAGAGTTTGGCATTGGGACAAGACAGGAAAGTTCACAGTAAAATCTTTCCAAAATGCTCTAACCAGTAGAGAAGAACAGTTAGTTCCTGCCAACCCCATTTGGTGCAAGAATGTTTCCTCAAAAATGGCCTTTTTTTTGTCTGGACTGCTTATTTAAACAAAATCCTGACTAGGGATAATCTCCTGCGGAAGGGCATGCTATTGCACTCAACAGATTGTGTTCTCTGCGAAAGCCATTCAGAACCAGTGAACCACCTGCTGTTGCACTGTTGTTTTTCTTATGAGATCTGGTCCAGAGTAGCCCGGCTTTTAGAGGTGCAAAGCTTTTGTCCAGGATCAGTAGCGGAATTATTCAAAGGTTGGAGGGTGGAAGGTCTGAACAAAAGAGGAAAACTGATCTGTAACTTACTCCCAGCAGTGGTGTTTTGGTGCTTGTGGCAGGACAGAAACACAAATTTTCAAAAAATAAGAGCATTTCTTCAGATTCTGTTTTTCCGAAAGTTTAGGAAAAATGCATTCTATAGTGCTGCCAGGGAAGTTTTGTGATCAGTCCCTGTGTACATCATTTTGGTGTACATGTTTTGTTTTTCTTAATATAATTCTTACCTTATTGATAAAAAAAAAATATAAACCTTACCTAGTCTCAAAATAAAACGAAATGAGAAAGTAAATGAAGCTAAATTTAAGGCATATAATAAATACTTATAAGAAAAAGGCATATAATGAACTTTATCATAAACTAGGCACCAAAGAGGGAGAAAGTGGAATTTATAAATTAGTAAGGATGAGAAAGAACATTTGGTGAAGGACCACTTGCTAATATGTTGGAGAAACTTACGTGGGATTTTTTGTAGGAGCAAGAGAAGGGAAGGAAGATTTTTTGGTGAAGTGAGAAATACTATGCAAGACTAAGGAGCAAGGAGGATTTGGGGTAGGGGATATTAATTTTACAAATCTAGCCTTGTTAGGAAAATGGCCATGGAAGCTGCCCCTAGATAATGAAAAGTTATGGCACAAGGTAATAGCAAGCATTCATGGGTTGATGGCAAATGGCTGGGATGCTGCTGTATCTCCTAGGGCTATTGTGGTCTCTCCTTAGAAAGCTATTAATGCTATTCTTCCTCAGTTCCTAAACCTTGTCGGCTATGATGTCCACTTAGGGAAATGTATTATGACAAGAGTGATGATACATTGGTTAAATCTATGAACATGTTTTCACCTTACTCACATGATGGTTTAAGAAGGAAGGAGGGAAATGGTGGCAACGTCAAAGAAGAGGAAATATCAAAAAATCTAGGAACCACCTGATGATAGCAGTTTGGGCAACCCAGGCCCTTCGAGGATTGGAGGGGTGTTTAGGGATAAGAATGGTAACATTTTAGCCTTGCTAGAAGGGCAGAACTACTTGTTGTACTTCATGGAGTTCAAAGAGCAAGAGAGCTGAACCTAGAAACGATGGTTATTGAAGGGAACTCCCAAGTGGTGATTGGTTGGCTGATGGATGGGGTGAGGGCTGCTTGGACTTACAAAGACACCATAAAGAAGATTAAATTTTTAACAGGGGGAGGAATGGGGGAGAGAGAGAAACTTGCCTTTGCACCTCCACTGTGCATTTAAATATATCATGTTAACTCATTTTTTTCCTGTATTTTTTTTTTCCTTCAAATAGATGGATGTATGCACTCACCAGTGTAGTTATGAAAGCCTATTGCTTTTCACCCTGCAGACCACTAGTCTGTTTTTAAGTAATGGTGGCTTCATCCTTTGTAAATATTCTTTTTCTTGGGGAAGCTGTTAGCAAAGATTATGGGCAGTTTTTTTTTTATGCAGCAAATATATTAAACCAGTAGAAAACAACAAGAAGATGTGATGAAGCTTGAGGTGAGACCGCAGTTGAAGCTGGAGCAATGAACAACCCACTTTTAGTGTTGAAATCACTTCAGTGGATAATATATGCCTTCAAGTTTTGTATACAGCAAAAGATTCCCCCCTTGCGGTCTACAAACAAGATGTGAGGCTTATATAGCTGCCTCCAAGCAAAGCGACACCATAACACCTAATTTGACCAAAATACCCCAACTTAAGTGGCTCACATGACAGTCACGTGACTCAACTTAAAATAAAAGACCGACTCTAATAACCAACTATAAAATTCCAAATAAGATATATAACTTAAGGAGTAAGAAAATAAAGATGAATAACCAACTTGTCCAGCTATGAATCAGCTACTAAGCTCAGTTACACTCCGGCCCGCATGCTCCTGCATCATTTTTGCCTTTTAGATTTAAAGGGCCAAAACCCAATGTTGGTCCTGGATATCTAGGGTCTTCAGAGGTGGATTAGTCATTGTAACCTCCAGCATTTCCCTTTCCTTGTTTTTATTTATTATTATTATTATTATTATTATTATTATTATTATTATTATTATTATTATTATTATTATTATTATTATTTGCATTATGTGGTCACTCTGAAACTCAGATCTCGTTGCCACTTGTCAGTCCAGGATTCTACAACTAAATCAAGCAATGGCATTTGCCTTTTGGGTTTTTTTTTTAAGAGGTTTTTCAAGAATTTCTTGAGGTTTGGTCTCGAGTTGATGTCTGGCATTTGCAATATAGTTTCTCTGTGTCTATATTTGAGTTTTTAAATGTCATTATTAAATATTGATGGAGCACTTGGCTGCTTGAGGTTTATATTAATTTTTTGTTTCATTTCTTCTGATTATGTATTTTCATCATATGCACAGGTTTTATCTGCTCTCAACCTCTACAGATATATATTGATTATGGAATCAACAGGTAAATGACAAGGTTGTGAGTTTCTGATAAGTAAAAAAGGGAAACCATCTCTAAACTATATTTTGTTGATTTATTTATTTTTAGACAATTGATTCATTGGGATGCAATATTGCTTCCTTGTACACATGCTTGTAAGTTAATATGATTATTTATATTGGTTCTCCTATGGAGTGCTGATTTTTATTGGATATTTGTGCTTAATTGATGGCTAGATTATTAGCAATGTTTTGAAACCTAAATGAAACTTATGTTTTATTGGGTAAACACAATAAATGCAAGAAGTTAAGATGACGGGAATGTTTGAGGGTGAAGTTTGTATTTCGTCATATTTTAAGTAATCAGTTATGGATTTTCGTGTTACTCTAGTTGGATTAGTGTCATGCCATTTTAAGAAAAGACAAGGAGGGTTTTTGCAGTACAGACCCGTTTATGTCCCCAACTCTTGAAGATTCTGTCTTTTGAAAGGAGGCATTTTGTGTATGACTGATATGCAGTTTTGACTTTTTGAGTGTAGTGGGTGGTATAGTGTATGTTCTCTACTTTGGTTGTTGGGTTCTTTTATTTGTATATCTCTATGCTTAATAAAAGCATTTTGGTTTCCTTTTCTTAAAAAGTGCTTGTAGCATGAGAATAGACTGAAATTATTACAAATTAATAACTAAGATGAAGTTTTATGTTGCATGAGAAGTTGTTATGTAGACTTCATTGCCGATTTTGCCAAAGCTTATGCCAAAGCCATCAGGTGATGCCATTGAGTTTCCTTGGCTGTGAAAGCCTTCTTGTTACCTAAGCAAATATAATCCCAGTGCTGGTTGGGTAGCTTTTGGGGCACTAAATTATTGCTATTGTATCCATCAGAAAAAAAATACTGCTATTGTAGGAATTGGGAATTGCAAAATTTATGTTGGCTATTAGGACCATGGTGTTGCATAAACTGCAGAACATCATCTGCTTTTAATGCATCTCTGACCACGTTTATCTATGAATTGCAGGAAAAGCAAACTATACAGGAGTGCTGGATAACAAGGCCATAAACAAAGCCTACACAGAGTGGCTTCTACCTCTACGGACACTAGTCACAGGAATTACGGCAGAAAATGAAAAAGACTATGATCAGCTTGCCATTGACACAGTTTGTACCTTAAATCCCATTCAGTTGGTTTTATACCGATGTATTGAACTTGTTGAAGATGAAATGAAACATCCTGCTAAATGTACCAACCATTGAAAACTTGACCTAAGGAGCCTTTCCTTTTAAGAGTAATAACTTATACATAATTTTATTGAATTTACACGTGGATAGTGTGTATAGTCCCATGAAGGAAATCTGGCCATCTGAGGTGCTAATATTTTGCAATTCAGCGTTTGAGGTTGGACTTTTATTAGTACGTAACTATTACGTATTATATATACATTACAGGCGATTAAGGGATGGGGATGGAGCAGGGTCACGTGAAGTTCACTGTCCTTGCCACAGAGAGCCTGAAGTTGGTTAGGGTTTGATCCTGTGCCTCTATTTTGGCCTAATATTAGCTTTTCATTCGAATCTTTTTATTTGTCCCATAAAAGTGCCCTTCGCCAATCTATGCCAGCTTGAGGTTTACACTTATTTATTTCTATCAAAGGCTTACTACGCCTTGACCTAAGTTACGAGGTAGAAGCCTCACGCCTCAAGGCTATGCCTTGTAGGCCTTGTTTGTATTTGGGTAAGTCATTTATTTGGTCAAGTGCTTTTTGGGTAAATGCACTTATCTGGAAAATACTTGCCCGGATAAGTACAGTTATCAGTTTTTTTTTTTCTTTCTTTTAGGAAAATTTACTTAAACTTTCACAAAGTGTCAAGTTGATCCAGAACCATTAACCAACTTTAAGTATTATATAAAAAGACAAAAATGCCTCTCATCTATCATCTAATTTTCTTTTAGTTGGTATCAGATCTTTAACCACCCCCTCCATTTCAGCAAATCTGTAGTTGCAATCATTGGGTCCTGCATTATCGGTGACACTTCTAAATTTGAGGACGAGAGAGCAACAGGGAGGTTCTGTAATGGAAAGCTGGCTACCGGCTTTGCTGGTAAAAAAACTAAAGAACCATTAATTGTTTTCTTTTCTATGGTAAAACTTCATTTTCTTCTCTTAATTCCTATAATGAGGTAATGGGCTTGCATTGCTTTAATGATTCTGAGCTCAGTTGAGACCCTTGGCTTCACTTAATACCAACCTGCTTACCTTAGCCAGGAGGCCATAGGGAGTAACCTCTTAACAGGAGCCAACTTTGCTTCAGCTGCTTAGATGAATTTGCTGGTACCGTTTAGAGATCCCATACTGAACTTCAAACAAGAGAGAAAAAACAATCAATTAAACCAGACTCAGTTTCCAAGTGAAGGAAAAGAAAACAGATCTCTCTTGGGATCCAACTGAAACGCTCATGGAGACTATAGCTTTGTCCAGATTTTTAGAGTAAAAGCTTCGAATTCCATGCCTTAAACCCGTAAAACTCAACGAATTACAGCTCTTTAAGGATTCCGATGCGCTGAGAGATATCATCTACAGGGAAACCGATGGAAAAACAACCGAAGACATCGTTGTCAAAGAAGGCGAGAGGCCACATATGCAATTGTGGTGAACTACGCAGGTTAAGCGATTGGCGCCTGGCGGAAAGTGAAAGCATACATTTTAACTTTTTAAGCTTTCACTCTTGTGCTCATACAGCTTCAGAGGCGGTGGCACTTCCCCATTGTTGGCTTCCCTGGTTTGCTTCAACAAAGATGTGTTCATGTGTCAAGTGTTGATGGGTCCGACTGTACGTAAACCAGTGTTCATGTGTTCGAGTTCATCAATTCACGTCTTCTGTTCTTTCATCAAGTTAATTCAACTATAGTTATTATGATTCAGTCTGAAGGTTGAAGATAATGAATAGTGTTATATTTTCAAGGGTAGTTTTGACATTTTGAAAAATTTTAAATTGCAAATATGATCACGATAATTGAGGGACTGTATTAATGGTAGGGACTAAATTGACAACTTTTTAAAGTTTGGGTACTTTAGTGACACGTTTAAAAGTTTGGGTACTAAATTGACACTACCTCCAAAGCTTAGGGTACTAAAGTGGAATTTTCCCTTTCTTTTATTTCTCATGTATAATTGTACAATGATTTTTATCCAAAAAAAAAAGTGTTTTCAACCCGTCATTGGCTTGTAGGTTGAACTATTCGAACCATCACTTGGCCATGATTTTGGGTCTAGTTTTGTTGCAACCTGTCATTCGGTAAAAAAAATGTTGATTTTGTCAAAAATCGTTCAATGTAAGTGGTTCAACCGTTGACCCGTTCAACCCCCGTCACTAGTTGTGGGTTGCACACAGTGTATATGCAAACTTTCGGCAGATGTGATGTCCCATTGGGATGATCTTGGTCTATTTTTAAAACATCACAAAAAGTGGAATTATTGAAGGGACAATATTGTCTCATTATGTATTAACAATTTTTGGCGCAATTGGTAAGTGATTTACCCAAGTCTCGGGAGGGTATTATTTGCCCATGTAAACGAGTCACTTGAAAATCATTATTTTTCATGGGACCCACTAATTATCAAAATATGAATGTGGTTTTATTTATTTTCTATAGGACCCACCAACTTAACTGCCCTCACTTCCCAAAAAATGAACGATGCCTTAAAACTATCACTAACTTGGTCCAACATGGCATTGTACCCTATACCTATAGGGGTAGAAGCGACATCACATGTACCAAAAATAGGGCCAACGTGTAAGTATGTTCTCTTAAAGCAAAGAGTAATTGATCAAATTTATAGGCATTTTACCCTATAGAGGCTTGGGCAGGGCTTACAAGCTTTTTGGGCCTAATGAAAAAAAATTAATTGTTTGAAAAATTTTAAATTAAATTATATAATACATGAAAAAAAAACATTATTTATAGATGAAGGTAAGGCCTTCATTCCCATTCTTGAGCAATGTGGGACATGGAACAAAACTCAATAGAGAGTATTACTATTAAGTTTTATAAGTCCTACATTATTCAATGAGAACAATTCTCATACTTAAGTTGACTCATGTGTTGACATGTGTCGTCAATTCATGAATACTTGTATTAAAAAATTATATTTTATATAAAATAATAAATGATTAATATAAAATAAAGTATATTTGTATATATAACATATAATATATATAATATTAAGTGTATATAATTCACAATATGGTATATTACAACATAAAAATATTATATATTTAGAATAAATATTATATAATATTGTGGGCTATGCCAGGATTGCACATAAAAAACTGGGCGCAGGCCCAACAATTTACAGGATGGGTCGGGTAGGATTTCTGGGCCGGGCCAGGAATGATCACCCCTAAAAAACTTGTGACATTGAGGCTATAGTGCTCTTGCCTTAAGCATGTTATCTCGTTTTTAAATTGATTTTGTTCTACATCAGCAAATGCTAATCACCATATGGGTTTCAATTTAAGCAGATTCTTTTTTATTTGTTTTTTTGGAAGAAAGGAAATATAATTTAAGCAGATTCTGTCATTAGAAAGCTGAATTCAACCAAAATACTTCCATAAAAAAAATCAAAAGCTTAAGCTCAAGGATGTACCCATCCAATAAAAAGACCCCACGTATCATAGAACAGTTGTATTGGACAGTGATCTGTCTTTGCCCAACTGTATCTTGACTTGACTTGAGATAATCTCAAGAGAAAAGTGGGGTTATATTTGGCAAATAAGTGATTTGAGTTCATAAGTATTTATTTGAAATGAATACTTATTTGAATAAGTATTCCCAAACCATTTAACTTATTCTAACTATTTGTTTGGGTTGAAGTATTTTGTGAGCTGCTTAACCAATAAGTATTTTTATTTATGACAATGATAATTATAGCTGTTGCTCAAAATAGAACAAAAAAATTAAGTTTTTTAAAACTGGACTGGACAGGGAATTGTTCTTGGAGCCTTTTCTGGGTTGAATGGTCCGACTATTTGGTTTGAATGGATGGTCTATTTTGGCAAAAAAATAAAAAATAAAAAAAAAACAGCCAAAAACTATTGTCCATGTCGATGGTTTAACCTCCCAGGTCAACGATTTGTTGATCAAATCAATGATTTTTGACCGAAAAGTAATTCTGGGGTGAAACGAAACCTGTCAGATGTTAGTTCTCAATTTTTCTAGTCCAACTGTCCGGTCTAGTCCGGTTTTGAAAACACTACAAAAAAGTGGAAACAAATAGAAGATATTTATGAACCTAAACGATTTTTCAGCGTGGAATTGTTTGTCGCTGCTTCTGGTTGTGTTGGAACTCAAATGGAGAACACTCAATGGACTTTGAAAAAAAGATGGGGACAATTTTGTACTAAAAAACTGGAATAAGTGCTTAAAATAAGCAGTCCCTAGACTGTTTTTTCAAGTATTTATTTTGAAAATAAACAGTTATTTATTCCTTTTTTTTGTCCAATACCAATAAATGATTATTTGCCACTTATTTTGTTATTCAAATGAATACTTAAAATAATCTCCGGTAACAATGTTGGTTAGGAGGCTGAACTGAACTGTTTTCACCGCCGGAGTCAAGGGACATTGTGTTGAACATGAGAGAAAAGAGTAGAATGCATGGTGAGAACCAAGGTTCAAAGTATTAACACATATTGGCCTGTATCGGCCGATACGTATCGTTCCGGGACCCCCTCCGATATGCCCCTACAGTGGATGTATCGGAGGTCTGACCGGTTCAGGGGATAGAGGAGACCTAAACTGGCCCCTCCTAAACCGGTTACAAAAAAAATAATAAAAAAAAGCAACCAAAATATGTATCAATTCGCCCAATACACCCCTACCGGCATATCGGGCATATCAATATTTTAAACCTTGGTGAGAACAACCTGCACACTAATAATGGACTACGTAGACTCTATTTCTTGTTCACTGTTAACTTTCCCTCCTGGTCTGAGGTGGACCACCCACCACCCTTTGATGTGAACTCCAGCCAGCAAATGTAGGAGAATAATTAAGCTAGGTGGGGCAACCTAGTCAAGGATGGTAGGAGAATTTAAGATGATGCACAATTTAGCTTAACCAACAAAGTCCTTTCTGATACTAGGTCAATTTAGCCAACAGAGGCAGGAGATAAAACCCAATTGATCAATTGGTAGGAAATTGGGAGCAGTGGCAGTCAATGGTTATAGAAGTTAGGCTTAGTTTGGATGAGCTTTTTTGCTTTTGAATTTGAGGCTGTGAAAAACAAAATTGAGTAAGATGTGTTTTGAACATTTGTTAG